CCTTAATACTAAAAAAAAAAGTAATTACAGTTTATAGTCTAATAGAAGAAACAATAACAGAAAATAGTATAGACCAAGAAAAAGTAATTTATCTACTAATCTGGTAGCTTTTTTATAATCAGCTGTTGGAAAGAATTCAAAAAAACAAATCATTGAACTATATAATAGAATAAGAAATATTAAGCAACACAGATATTAATTAGATTACAAAATATAAACAAGTAGCAATTGCTTATGCAGATAATACTACATAGCTCACAAAAAGCAAAGCCCAACTGCTAAAAATTATTGAAATTGCAAAGAAGTTCTTTAAAGCAAATAATATTGAGATAAATAAAGCTAAGTCAAAGCTCATAGTAATGAATTCTAAACTAAAAAAAAAAATAAAAAAATTAAATTGAACAAAGTAGAATAACAAAAGAACCAAAAAACAAAATTGTAAGATCATTAGAAATTTGGCTAAATAGCAGAATAAGAGAGTTACTAATTTGCAAAAAAGCAAAAAGAATAGTTAGTCAAATAATCAAAGATCTCAGATATAAAAAAATAACAATAAGCCAAATTACATATATAAACAATATAGTAATAATCCTATAATTAGAATACTAAGGATGATGATCCTAATGTAATAGTTGGGTTGTTATCCTTTAAGTGGCAGGTCTAAGGTTCAAATCCCATCTATAACAAAATTTGAAAATTATATCTGCATTATAGTAACTGTCTTCTGTCAATCAGTTGGTCTTATATGACTGTAACCCAGATATATCAAGTTAGGTTTTACTAACATTGGAAGCTTGAAGCATCTATATGAAGTGTAATATTACATATATATAAAGAAATGTATAATGGTGTTGTATAAGACTTCAGTGCAAACCCATAACAAGACCATCAGGCATAGAAGACTAAGAAACTAGATAACAAAAACCTACTTGGAAATCCTTGAGTAAAGAGGTAGCATAAACTTTTGATAGTATTATCAGACTGGTTAAAGCCCACAAAACATCTTTATAGGAACTGAAGGTTAAACTGAACATTAAATATGTATAGAAGAGCATATAACCAATCAGGCTGCCAGATTCACTAAAGGAAAAGCATACAGAAGTATACTATAATGAATTATCTAGATTGGTAGTCTGAAAAAAACTGCTGGTTCTGAGTTGCAGTTAGTAGAAAATAATAGAGAAGATGCCAGAAAGATAAGTATTAGGGTTATAGTAAACTTTGCAAGAGTAGAAATAATGTAATGTAGCAGTTAAACAGGTAACACCTATAACTGCAAGTATTAGATAACTATAGCATGTTGCATAAAACTAGGTCTGTATATATGGAACATAAAGGCTCTAGTAAGTTTTCTGTCAAGGATAAAGTAGTTTTAAGGATAACAACTAGTATCGAGAACTTGAATGGGTGTAGCCTTGAGATGTTCTTGTGATACAAAAAGGATTGCATATGCAGAGGGTTTAAATAGGCAAGACTTCTAGTTGGCTTGCAGGTATGGCAACTAGTGTAAAACTTATATAACAATATGTAAGTGAATTATTTAAATTAGGCACCAAAAGTGCACATATGGCTAGTTGTAATCTTTAATGTACAGGTAGCTCCTGGAGGCATGCCATGTTCTATATACTTGAATAAAAATATTGCATCCTCAAGACAGGAACTTTAACTATAAAAAAAAAAAAAAAAAAAAAATTAGGATACCTTTTGCAGTTAACAAAGATGTCAGAAAAGATAATTAACAGAATCTACCAACTGATAATATGTTTGGCCAAACATAAGTGCAACATGATGAAAACTACAAACAATTGTATAACTGAACACAAAGATTTAGAAAATTGTAAATTTTTAAGTCAAAAAATAACAACAAAGCAAATAAGTAGTCTACTTACAAGACTTAATAGGAAAGATTCTCTATGTGATTTAACAAAGCTTAGAATAGTACAAAAGTGCCAGAAAGCAGGCTTAATAAATGATATTTGAGAGTCCAAAAGAAGGTCAGAAGAAACAAAGTATTGAAAACACAACTTAGCTTATCAAACAATAGTCAAGACAAAAAAGATAAAAATAATTATCAAAGCAAAAAACTACTTGTAAAAAGTATATAGTTATGAAATAAAAATAAGAGATTTTAGTTAAAATCAAATCTTGGACAGCAAGTAGTAGTACAATAAATGAGTGAAGTTTGCTATACTTAAACCAACTTATAAACATAAAAGGAGAAAGTCTAATCATATAAAGACAGCTTAAAAGTCTTCAAAAACTGTTATATAAAAAGAAAAAAGCCAAATAGTTTAATAAAATAGAAGAAAAGATATTAATAACACAGACAAGCAAAAAAATACATGACCAATACAAGATTAGTAGTTATAATACTTAGATGCTAATGATTAATTGGACAAAAATATCCAAAGATAAAAGAAAAAAAAAGTGGATTATATACAAATCAAAACATAATCAACAACTTAGCAAAATATTAAGTAAGAAAAAAAAAAGATTTTAGCTAAATATTAGATGTTGTAAAAAGTAGAAGAGAAGACATATACTGAAATAAGCAAATGCAAAGAGTGTAAAAATTGAACAGAACAAATAACAAACAATTGTAAAAAGTGAATAAGATGAAACAATAATATAAAAGCAGTTCCAAAAACATTAATAAAAAAAGGCAGTAACAATATTAATGCAATATTAAAACAAATACTAGAAAACAGAACAATGAAAAAATGAAAAAAAGAGAAAAAAAGACTAATTAGACTAAAACAAATAAAAGAATTAGAGATAAAATTAATCAAAAAACAAAAATTAGATAGTGAAATCATAGTTTATTTAATAAAAGTTCTAATAAAAAACAAGATAAGAAACAAAGACAAGTATATTTTTTATACAGATAGAGCATTATATAAAAAAAAAAAAGAAAATAGTATAAAAAAGATAGGCATTGGTTGAATACAGATCAGTAATAAAGAAAACTGGCCAGAGGAAGAAACAGCATTGAAACTTAAAAGCTGACCTTTAGCAACAACAGCAAAATATAATTAGCAATTCTAACTGTACCAAAGAAAAAAAATATAAAAATACATACAAATAGCTTTGCAGTGCTAAAAAACATTAATAGAGCAATTCAAGACTTAGAAAATGACAAAGTTCTAAAAAAGAAAAATACATTTAGATAATGAATATTGTAAATTTAGTCAAAAGTAAGAGTAATAGAATAGAACTAGTTAAAGTTAAGAGTCACAGTAATGATAAGTGGAATAACAGAGCAGATGTACTTGCAAAAAAAGAAGCAATATGTGGAATGACAATTTTTATAGAAAAGATCAAATGTAATAAAATAAAGTACCATTTAGAATAGAAAAACAGAAAAGTTAATATACCAATAAGACTTCTTTGCAAAATAGTCACAAATATCAGAATTGAAACCAGTTGGAGAAAAACAAATTTGATTCAAGTACTAGAACCAGAAATAGAAAATACTTAATACAATTGGTTAAGTTTTTGAAAAGAGATAAATAGAATAAAAGATGTATACTGCATAACAAGAAAACTTAGTACAAGAAGAGCAATAGTAATTAAATGCATAATAGATGATCTACTAATACTAGAAGAATTAAACAAAAAAAGATCAGAAATATATACAACAACAGATTGCCAAGTATGTTAAACAGGTGAAAAGAAAACTTAGACATATTTGGCAAACTGCAGTAGACAAAAAAGCTTGTAAAAGAGAATAAAAAAGATAGCAATAGTAACAGCATAGAATAATCTTAAAGAAAACAAAAAAATTAGAATTCTATCTTAAGTGCTATATGAGATAATATTCAGAAAAACAGAAGCAGAGGAAATTATTAACAGAAGAGCATTAATAAAAGGGCTAGTTACAAACAAAGTAGAAAAAAAATCAGTCAGATTCTAGATAAACAGGCAACACAGAAATGCATAGAGATAGTAATAAAAACAGTATTGAATACATTCTATAACTAAGTATAGAAAGTTTAATGTGAAAAAATGCATAGATAAGAAAAAAAGATGAATATAATAAGCAAAATGAAAAAAGGTGTTTGAATTAAAAAAAAGTTAGAAAAAAAGAATAAAAAAAGATAAGTTAACAAAAGAAGAAGAAAAGAAAAAGAAGGTAGAAAAAATGAATCAAACAAAAAAGAAAACTTAGAAGACAATTAATATACTTGTTACAAAAAAGAAAAAACCCTTCTAATATAGTTTTAAGTAGTTAGATGAGCAGTTTATCTCTAATTGAAATAGTGCAACAGGTTGCACTTAGGTACCAATAGGGTGGCCAAGTAATACTAAACTTAGATATTAGAAAATTCAATATAATTATAATTGTATATAGGTTCAAAAATTTTAATAAAGTACTATTATTATTGCTTAAAGTTAAAAAAAAAAAAAAAAGAGGATGGTGATCCTAATGTAGTAGTTGGGTTGTCATCTTTCAAGTGGCAGGTTTAAGGTTTAAATCCCATCTATGACAAAATTTGGAAATTATATCTGCATTACGGTAACTGTCTCCTGTCGATTGGTTGGCCTCATATGGCTATTACTCAGGTCAGAGACACAGAAATTTTTCAAAAGCAATTTTTTGAAATAATTTTAAATTTTTTAGTTAAATCAAAATTTTTCAAAATTTTGACCAAGCTTGATCAAAATTTCTCAAAATTTTGGCAAAATTATCAAAAAGTCACATGCATTAAATATTATTGGCCAAAATCAATCACATGAAAATAATATTATTGGATACAAAAAATATATTAATAATGATAAACATTTTCAAAAAAAAAAAAAAAAATTGCAAAAATGTGCTGTTTTCTTTGAAACTAACCACTTGGGTTCGAAGAAGTGAAACTTTACCTTTTTTTGTTTGATTACTATAGCCTTTAATGAAGAAAGGCGGGTTCCTGATTATTTTCCTAAAACTCATGAAATAATTAAATCAGCTAAAAAGTATGACCTCAAAGTCAAACATTACTCTATACACCCACTAGAAAGAATTTCCAAATACTTTTAATGTTCTTAATAATACGTTGGTGTGTACTTACTGTGAACATTCGGTTAGTTGGAAGCAAAAAGTTAGTATTACCACCCATGTTAATTCTAAAACCCATATAAAAAACAAAAAAAATTATGAAATAGCAGCTCAACATAGACAGTCTCAAACTTTGGAGGATTCTATATCCGTGGCAGAGTCTAAAAAAATAGTAGTGAAAGATCTTGTAGAAGCCTTTGTTAAGGCGAATATACCTTTAGAAAAAGTGAATGTACTGCAACCATTTTTTAGAAAACATTGTAAAGAATAGAGTTCAGTATCAAAAGCTTATACATTAAGATGACATTATTTGCCCAGAATATATCAACAACACATTAAGAATTTAAGAGTTATTTTTCAAAACAAGCCTGTAGCTATAATCATGGATGGAACAACAGATAGTCGAACCTGAAGTGTTGTGAACATTTTGTTCAATTATCACAAAAACATCAAGCTTGTAGTAGTTGATTACTTAAGTTCTGTTAACAAGATTACTATGAGTCAGCTAATTATTAAAACGTTATTTGAATAGTTTATACCATTTAATTGTTCATGTCTTTTAGTATCTGATTCGGCCTCTTACATAAAAAAAAGTTATTGTGAGGTCCTTAAACCAATTTTACCACAACTTGGTTATTTACCCTGTTTAGCGCATATTCTTAATCTTATTAGGTAAAGATTTTTTTAATTTAATTATAATAATATGATATATTGTATTTTAATTAATTTAATTTTTTATTAATTAGCCAAGCATAGGTATCAATTCCACAAATGGGTTTAGTTAAAACCTTATTATTAAATATCAAAAAAACATTCATTTATGCAAAAGCAAGACGTACATGATATATCAAGTTTTTAGCAAGAAATGAAGTTCAGAATTCAATGAATATTCTACTTTATGTAGATACTCATTGGAATTTATGGTTTCAGATGGCATTCTACATAAATGAACATTATCAACATATTCGAAACTTTTATTTAGAAGAACATTTGAATGATTCAAATGAAATGGTTGATAAATTATTCAAGTTTTTTAATGATACGTCTAATAATGGTTGTGCGCAAATCTATCTTTCTTTTATTAAACTTTATGTGCAACAATTTATTAATGATTTGAATTTTTTTCAACACAAAAATCTTCCTTTATTTCCTTATATTGAGGGACAGTTAGATTAATTAAAAGTTTACATTAATAATAGAACACAATTAGAAAATTTGGATGGGTCTTTAATTTCTTTAATTTAAAATCTTAATTTTGATCCTCAAGCATTTTTACCAATATTTAGGTCAGCTTATGACGCTGCTTCAAAAAAATTTAATGATCATATTTCAAATTACTCCTCTCATGTGCTTTTTAAAGCATCACAAATATTTGATCCAAAATTCATTAATATTACTTCATCTAAAAATATTCTTTCTTACAGTACTTCGATTCGTGAATTTTCAGATCTTTCATATGAACTTATTCAAGATTAGATTAGATATTGTAATTTGGATCTATTTTCAATAGAGTATTTGAATATAGAAGAATTTTGGCAAAAAATTTTATACAATTTACCTCTTTTAAGCCAAATTGCTTTAGATTATATTTGGTTACCACTCTCATCATGTAGTATAGAACGTAGCTTTTCTGTTTATAATAATATTTTGAATAAGGATAGAGAAAATTTAAGCCAAGATTCTCTTCAAATGCTTAATATTTTATATTATAATCATTCAGAATTATTGTTTTAAATAGTTTTAAATAGAATTAATAAAACTGAATTGAAAATTTTGCTTAAAATAGTTAAAATTTTTATTTTTGTTTAATCGAAATAAATCGAAATTTTCACTCAAATAGCCCAAAATAAATCAAAATTTTTACTAAAATCAATCGAAATTTTTACTTTAAATCAAAATAATTTTTCTGTGTCCCTGCTCTTATGGCATCTAAGTGCATGTCTGCCACATACCTGTACACAGTTAACTTGGCAATCACTTGTGGTCATGGTACACATTAAACCACTACACAGACAAGAATACTTACTAAACTTAATATAGTATACCAAATGTCAGGGGTACTGTCTTCTGTAAATCCTACTCATATGTCCCACTTATATGTTTTATCTGGTCTTGTTTCTTCTGCCTTCTAATCTAACTATATCTAGTATTACCTTGTTCCCTACATTTCCCATCTTTTCGTCACTATATCACTTCCAAATTGGTCCTACTCGGGTATGTCTGATCCTTATGATTTTCTTATCTTTGGTTTGTCTGTTATTAATTTCCCTAAGGTGTTCTGACAATAGTCTAGGATCTACAATGAACCTGTATCTCAAGCCAGATTTGCTATTACTATTGGTCTTTTGACCAATCTGTATCTCAAGCCAAACCTGCTGTCACTGTTTCTGCAGATGCCTTAGGTTTT